TTGAGCTGAAGAGCTGAGGGACAGCGCTCAGGCCCAGAGTTCAGGCCCTACGACCAGACCCAAAAAAAAACCAAAACAAGATCAAAAAAACAATCCCAAGATGAACATTGGTGGTTCAAGGCTGTAATCCTACCTATGCAGGAGGCTGAGATCTGAGGATGGCTCTTCAAAGGCACGCTGGCCAGGAAAGTATGTGAGACTCTAATCTCCAAGTAACTACCAGAAAACCAGAAGTGGGGCGGTGGCTCAAAGTGGTAAAGTATAATCCTTGAGCGAAAGAGCTCAGGGACAGGGCCCAGACGCTGAGTTCAAGCCCCAAGACTGAAAAAAAAAAAAGCAAAGCAAAACTCTCTCTTTCTCTCTCTCTCTCTCTCTCTCTCTCTCACACACACACACACAAATCCAGAATAATTAAGAACTCAACACGTGCTAAAACAAGCAAAAAACCCTTCCTTTCAGGCGTATTACAGGCATGCATTGTCCCAAAAATATTAAGCTGGAAGAAGCAAGAAGATCCCATGCTGAAGTTTTCTAGCTGCAGCAAAACAGAGGCCATAGAGAAAATGGAAGAAAACTCAATGCAGCCCAGCCCCCTCCCTAGCATGATTAAGAGTCACTGCTGGACTGTCATGTGGGGGAGGTACACTGAGCCATTACCAATTATTAACATCTAGCACAGCTATTTAATCACATCTCTTACACTAACACCTGACAAGCCTAAGACACTGGACACAGACTAAATACACCTTAATGGGGGTCGAAATACAGCAGAACCCCACGGGGACATTAAGCTGAGCAGCTATAGCCGCCCAGAGGGCCAAACTACATCAATTATGCCCAGAGCCACTGCCTCTGAAAGCTCTTTCCTCCTATTCACTCACACACAAACACACACACACACACACACACACACACACACACACACACACACACACACACAACTGGTTTTATCTATGGTAAGGTATGCTAGGTACGCAGAGGAAAATTCCACTGCAAACCAAGTCCCAAACTACAAATGAAAAGAATTTCTTAAAATCAGACCTTCAAGATGATCGTGTTTTAAGCTACTGCAGGGGAAAAAAAACAAAAAAACAAAAACCACCACACCACCAAAAAACAAACAAAACCCCCACAAGGGTAGAAAAGGGCTAAGGAAACGAAGATTGAGAAGCAAAACAAGAAAACAAAACTCAGCAAACTCTCCAGGGCAGATTTAGAAATGAACATGGTGGGGAATTAAGATTCCAAATTCCTGGGCTATTTTGGATCTTCTATTTATTTTCTGCTCACGTCCAAACTTCAAATTAAACCTTTCAGGTCTATGTGCTGTAGGGGGTGGGGGGACTCAGCAGGAGGCCAGCCTGCTGGACAGCCGAAGAACCCCCCAAACAGCCCAGGGGCTCCCTAGCCTCTCCACTCTGCACAGAGGACAGAGGACGGTAACTAAGCAACAGAGAAACTGGTCCCCTTCCACAAGGCTTTCACGTGGCACAGCACAAAACCTGCAGAGACTGAGAAGGACACAGAATACCAACTGGGCAGAACTGGATTCTGGATTCTTACTCTCCCCAGCTCTGGTTGGTGCTGACGCTGTAGAGTCCAGTCGGTCCTTGGACAAGGCTTCCGTGCCTTGTCTCCTCTAGGCCCAGGGAGGCAGGGGATGCTGTCACACCCGTCTCCCCTCTTTCTCTGGGCATTAGAAAGGAGGTGAACACGGTGGCAGTCTCACGATCTGCCGCCTCTTGCCCACAGCTAGGTGTTCCCACCACCTAAATGAAGCTCAGGCAGGGACCAGACGCCCATTCCAGGGTGAGGGTGAATTCCTAAACATTTGGCACCTTGATTATTATGATTAGGCTTTAAATAAATCTGACCTTAGCATAAGGCCCAGCAGGAGTTGTTACACAGAACTCATTCTTTTCTCCATGCCCCAAAGGCACTGAGTAAGTGGAGAAAGAAGGGCGGGGCAGATCAAAGCCAAGGGGCCAAACTGCATCTCACACGGTCCACCAGGACCTCACATGCATTTACCTTCAGCCACCCTCTAATCATGAGGCCCCCGCTGGCCCTGGTTTATGGGGCTTCATGGGACCAGTATCCAGGCTCCAAAGGGCAACTGAATCTGAGACGTGCTACAGTTGACATGAACCAGCCCAAGACGACTGGCATGTAGGCCTCTCTGGGCCTTCAGGTCAGAGGCCTTTAGAACTTGCTTTCAGAGCTTTGTAGTCCCTGGAGGCAAGTGGAAAATACCCCCACACTGGCCCCAACCAGCGCCCAAATCCTTCTATTAGACCCAGAGCAGAGTAAGAAGGAAAAATATTTTGTAGCCAGGTGCTGGTGGCTCACAGCTAAACTCCTCAAGACTCTGAGATCTCACCAATTCTCACCAATTCTCACTACTACAGGAGTGTGCAGGGTGTGGGTAAAGACACACTGAAGCCATTCTGTCCCAGATCTTGATCCATCACATCTTATGAGTGACATGCAATAGCTAAGATAATACAGCCATCCCCTCTTATCTCTAGGGAATACATCTCAAGATGCCCGGCCCCGTTCTCTATATACACTGTCTTTTTTTCATAAATGCCTTGCTGTGTTGCCATGAAGTATGGGGTCAATCTGTCCTGTGGTTTATACCCTGTTCCTCTCTGTATCATTACTCTCAAGCCCTGGTTACTTGGACACAAGCCCTGTGATGCTGTGATCACCAGGATGGCCCCTGGGTGGCCCGCAGGAGGGCAGCATATCCGGTGTGGCAATGCCAGACAAAGGATGATTCGGGTCCCACGTGAGACGGAGCAGGACAGTGTAAGGTTTTGGAAGCTACTAAGAAAAGGAGGTTATTTAGAACAATTGTTGATCTGTGGACATTTTTTTTTTCATTTGATGTTTTTTGGGCCATGACTGACTACAGGTAACAAACCCCACAGATCAGGAGGCTGAGATCTGAGGATCATGGTTCAAAGCCAGCATGGGCAAGAAAGATTGGAAGATTCTTCTCTCCAATTAACTACCAAAAAAAAAAAAAAAAAAAGCCAGAAATGGAGTAGTGGCTCAAGTGGTAGAGCACTAGCCTCAAGTGAAAAAGCTGAGGAACTGTACCCATACCCTGAGTTCAAGCCCCAGGAGGAGCACATGTGCGCGTGTGCGCACACACACACACACACACACACACAAAACAGAGTTCAGTGAATTTTAAAGGGTTGGTGTAGCTTTATATCCTGCATCATCCCAGGCACATTTTTAATAATACAGCCAAGTAAAACCATAGCCTATAAATAGTGTCCCCTCATAAGCTGCAATACACAACCTGCAGAAAAATATATGTAACGTGTACAGGCAGGACACAAACCCACCATTCCAAAAGCCAGGAGCCAGATTCTGATGCAGCAGCCCTGCCAAATCAGGGCTGCACACTGGCTGTGCTGGAAACACGGCTCAGACCACTGGTCAGGTATAAGAGACTGGCAGAAATAGCATCCACAAGTTGTACTATGTGATGTGTGATTGTTCTGGAACTTTCTCCTCTCTCATCTGCCTCTGGTCTAAAGAGGGAGGGAGAGCCAGAACTCTTAAGGTACAGATTACAAAAACATGACTGTGCTCTGAAACCAGGAGGCTGCCCTGGGAACAATGAAGACAGAAATCACTCACACACACACACACACCACAGTAATATGTAATGTGTTTTATACGTAATAGGTGTCATATATAACATATATGCACAATATATATTGCATATGTGTATGTATATGTATATATTATGTACTTTGTGTGTGTATATATATATATATATACACACACACACACATTTTCCTATAAATCTAAGTGTAACAAGCCAATTCTTTCTTCTATAGAAGGTATCAGATGTGGGGTTTTTTTTTTGGGGGGGGGGCGTCAGTCATGGGGCTTGAACTCTGGGCTTGGGCACTGTCCCTGAGCTTTCCAGCTCAAGGCAAGTGCTCTACCACTTGAGCCACAGTGCCACTTCCAGTTAATTGGAGATAAACCATCTCATGGACTTTCCTGCCTGGGCTGGCTTTGAACTGCAATCCTCAGATCTCAGCCTCCTGAGTAGCTAGGATTACAGGCGTGAGCCACCAGTGCCTGGCAAAAATACCAGATCTAAGAGCAGTTCAAAAGTAAAATAAAAGTGCATGTTCCCTAAGTGAGGGGAGGCCAGAGGGCAGATGTGGAAAACAAAAATCTTATCTTTCTGCCCAGAAGGAAAATACTGTTTAGAAGGGCTAAATATTTAGCAGCATTGACTCTCAGCTCCATGGAAAACAGAGCTATTTCCTGGTCCCCTTCTCAACATGGGGGCGTTGGGAAAGAGCGGACAGCCCACAAAACCCCAGGGCCCTTAGGATCCACTAAAGGTAAAAACAGGCCTACAATTCCTCATCTGCCTTCCCCGGAGACCAAATATCAGAAGACTAAGAATTTAGGAATGAATCGTAAATCGTGAACAATGGAAGGGGTGACAGGGACTGAGTGCACCGTACTCATAATCTGACACGGTGAATTGAAACCTCTTTGAGGATCTTATAGATAATTTTTTTAAATGATGCTTTAGCAACAAAATGAAATAGATTTTATTTGGTAGCAACAATGTGACCTGAATAAAATCATGTGTTGTTCATTGATTCCACTTGGTGTGAATGTTCTTACACAAACTAATGCACTTGCATTTTCTTGGGGAATATTACATACAAGAACCATACTTTTCTTCATAAAAACTCAGTTTTAAGATACACTTGGGACACATAAAAAGGGAAAGACTGTAGACGTAATAGGATGTCACAAGACATTTATAAAGTTTACCAAGGACTAACAGAGTCAAATTCCTCCGGTAGTTTCAGACCATTGAACCCACTTTCTACATAAGCCAGCCTGCAGGATTATTTGGCAATACTGGGTGAGAAATGGGAACTCTATTATCCAGGGATAAACTAAATGTTTAAATCTACTATTCACACTAAATCCTGGATTCCTACCTTCACATATTCCAGCGTTGGATCTAGAAGATGAGGATCCCTAAAAGAGAAAAGAGAAATGTGAGAAGGAGGAAGATGTGCCAACATTGGTTCATTCTGTTATGTAAATTCATAAGCAAGGGCCCCAACTTCTCAGATATACACACAAGGCATCGGATGGCATGATACCACGACCTCAGTCTGGAAACCTTGGAACAGGAGGCTGTTTTGTGTGTGGCAATTTGAGGTTCACTCGAGCATGAACTAGCCTCCAAGTCTGGAGCAAAGTAGGGCACCAGTGGCTCATACTTGTAATCTAGTGACTCAGGAGGCTGAGATTTGAGGACCCAAGTTCACAGCCAGTCCAGGCAGGAAAGTCTCCTCCAAAAAGCCAGAAGTGGAGCTATGGCTCAAGTGGTAAAGCACCAGGGTGGAACAAGAAAGCTAAGGGATAACACCCAGGCCCTGAGTTCAAGCCCCAGTACATGTACACACATGTATGCATGCACATACAGAGCTTGGAGCAAAAAGTTAGCAGGGGTGGGGGAGGAAGAGGGGCGAGTAAGTTTGATGCCATTATGACAATAAGAAAATGGAGGCTCAGGCAGGTGGGCAGCTGCCAAGGTTGGCCAGCCCGGGGATGAGGGGCAGAAGGGAACCTCACATCTGCATCTGAACTGTGTCATTCTCTTCCCCCCACAGAATGCCACCTACCCATTCCCTTCAATGTCTCCTCTCCAACCAGAATAGTACAGGAAGATCAAGTGGACATAATTGGCAGCCGGGGGCAGAGAAGGGTGATTGGACAGGAACTGGGAATGTCTAAGACTCTAGAAGAGGCGGGGAGACATGAGGTCTCCCCCATAACAAGAACAGACAGCTGCCCCATCCCCCCTGAAGGTAGGGAGGCTCAAACCCAAACTCCCCACAGAGATGATATCACTTTAGGGCCCAGGGCTTTCAGCTTTAAGGCCAAATTCTCTATTTTTGAATTACTTTTTAAAATAATTTTCTTTTTTGATTATGTAGTACCAAGGAATTGAACCCAGGGCCATGCATGCTAGGCACACACTCTACCACTGAGCCACCTTCCCAGCCAAGGTCAGAGGCTCTTAAAGGGGAGGTTTCTTAGCCTCTCTCCTTGGTGACAGAAAGGGCTTGTCAGAAGGTGAGGATCCCACTGACAAGCAGCCCCCAAAGTCAGTGAACCCAACCTCAGATCACTGCTGAGACCTCTTCTCTGGCTATGGGGTGACTGCAAGAACTGCAAACAAGAAGAGCAAAGCCACTTCCCCTGGGGTCCAAGGAGTCCTTGCCTCATGTGGAAATGGGTCTAAGCTCAAGCTTTCTTCCCACTGATCCATAAGTTGGACCTGCACATAGCACGCATGTGTGGGGTAAGTTGGTATCCAGGATACCCTTTGTACGCAAAGGTGTCGAAAGATCAGGTCTGACATGTGACCTTTGTTGAACCAAAGGAACCAAGAAGGGCCAAAGCTCGCAGTGCTTGCGTGCACTGGCATCAAGACATCCCGAGTCTGTCCGTCATGTCCAGGCTGGTCTCCTCCTCTCCAAAAATCCGGAGAGTTCTCCACCTCAGGCCTTCCTTCCCTGAAGAACCCAGTCTAAGACTGAACATCTGGTCTGCAGCATTCTGCCTGGGCTGCTTCCCTTGTAAGTGTTTCAAACCTTGGTTTCTGTACTACATTAACATTTTAGGTTTATAGGCCCCCAACTGCAGAAAAAATGTTAGATCCCTTCAAATGTGGGTTTCATCTTCTGCCCGTTTGTATGTACATTTCATTTGATTAAGTTTTTTGAACTCATAGCCTCATGCTTACTAAGCAGATTGCTCTATCACGTGAGCCAGGCCTCCTGTCTTTACATTTGTTTATGATTATTATAGAGGTGATGTATAGAGGGGTTACAATTATTTCTTTTTTTGGGGGGGGGTCTGGTCGTGGGGCCTGAACTCTGGGCCTGGGCGCTGTCCCTCAGCTCTTCAGCTCAAGGCTAGTGCTCTACCACTTGAGCCACAGCGCCCCTTCCGGCTTTTTTCCTTTTTGCTTATGTGGTGCTGGGGAATCAAACCCAGGGCCTCATGCATGCAAGGCAAGCGCTCTACCACTGAGCCACCTTCCCAGCCCATACAATTATTTCTTTTTGGACAATGTCACCACTTCTCTCGCTCTCTCCCAGTTGTTTCCTCCCATTCCCACCCACAAGTTGGATAATTCATTTGAACATAGTGTTTAGTGGGTACCACTGCTGCATTTGTTCACCCTCTGTCTCTCCATTTCTGTGTCCCCCTTTATACTCCCAAAGATAGATGAAGGAAAAAAAAAAACTCACTAAAACCTATTATTTCCATTTCCTGGAGTCCTGTCCTTTTAAAAATTACCAGACATTGTTAAACCAACATTACTTTCTCTTAACTGTGAGAGTACAGAGGCGAGGACTGTGGTGATGTAGCTTCAGGGTAGTGGCACCACCTGGCTTTGCACCCACCACCACCATCTGTACCCACTGTCACTTTTGTACCATCCCTGCAAATGTCAGCACAGTGAAAATGCAAACTACCCCCTCTTAGTGAAAAATGGGTTAGTCAGTGGAGACCAGAGGTAATGGTTCCAGGTTAGCTAGAGCTGGAAACACTGTATTTTGAAGAGCAAGCCAGGCATAGTCACACATACCTGTGAACTGCAGCTGCACAGGACATGGAAGTAGACGAATGGGCTGAGACTAGCACTGACAACAGCACCAGCCTCTATCAGAAAAACAAACTGAAGCAAAGAGGGCTCGAAGTGAGGCTCAAGTGATAGGAAGCCTGCCTACCCATCGCAAGGCCCTAAGTTCAAGTCCTGGTACTACTAAAAGAAAGGAATAAGACAACTTGGGAGCCTTCTCGCCATGGTTCCCATAGTGCTTATCATTTTTTCCTAACCTTTCACTAATTACTAGTCTACACATGGGATTTGGTCCAACTCTGCTTGCTTTTGCCTTTCAAAATCTTTCTTGTCGATCCATGAGTCACAATACATCTGCAGTATTTACTACTTCCTTGCCATTGTGAACTGGTTCTCGCTCTACTTTCCTCTTTTCTTTTTCGACAAGCTCTCCCTACAGAGCCTAGGCTGGCCTCAAACCTGAGATCCTCCTGCCTCTGCCTCCTGAGTGCTAGGCAAACAGGCATGTGTCACCTGGTGTACTTAATACTTTCAACATCTATGGCACGTTACACAACCCTGTCTGCACCCAGCAGGGTGAGAAAATGTTCCCAGACTCTTAAGAATCAATCACAAACTGGACAAATGCCATGGAGAAAGCATTCTGAGGCTGAGACCAAAGCAATCACCAAACTCTCTGATGAAGCTCAAAACAATCACCAAACCTTCAGATGGAGCCTGCACAGCTTCCTCGGACAGACTTTCAGTATCCCTGAGTATCCTTCAACATCCTACTGCATCCTCAGTTGCCCTCAGCCTACGGTTTCTATGGAAAGGTCTTCAGCACGAAAAGCATCTCTAACAAATGCCTTGAAAGTTCATTCTCAACGTGACCAGCCAGTACCATGCACCAGTTTTCTCAAAGACAAGAATTCATCTGTTTAACATAATCAACTCTTCTAAAGCTTTGCTGCGCATATGATCATCATAGAGCTAAAGATCTCCAGGTCTCAAGTGAAAAAGAAAAGAGATAAACTGGTTGCCAGCAATGCTAGCTATGCAGGTGCGAGGCTATCTGAGGAGGAAGGTTCAAAGTCAGCCCAGCAGAAAAGACCACGAGGCTCTTTCTTTTCATTTTTTAGTTGTGGGGTTTAAACTCAGGGCATGGGCTCTGTCCCTGAGCTCTTTTGCTCAAGGTTAATGCGCTACCTTTGAGCCACAGTGCCACTTCTGGTTTTTGAGTGGTTAATTGGAATAAGAGTCTCCTGGGCTTTCCTACCTGGGCTGGCTTTGAACTGTGATCCTCAGATCTCAGCCTCCTGAGTAGCTAGGATTACAGGCGTGAGCCACTGGTGCCCGGCACCCAGCTTCACCTCTGGTTTTTGAGTGGGTAATTGGAGATAAAAGTCTCACAGGGACTTTTTTTTTTTTTTGGGGGGGGGGGGTCTGGTCATGGGGCCTGAACTCTGGGCCTGGGTGCTGTCCCTCAGCTCTTCAGCTCAAGGCTAGCACTCTACCACTTGAGCCACAGCGCCACTTCCGGCTTTTTTCTTATGTGGTGCTGAGGAATCGAACCCAGGGCCTCGAGCATGCAAGGCAAGCACTCTACCACTGAGCCACTTTCCCAGCCCTCACAGGGACTTTTCTGCCCAGGCTGGCTTTGAACCTCCATCCTCAGATCTCAACCTCCTGAATAGCTAGGATTACAGGCATGAGTCATAGGTGCGCGGCTGACTCTTCATTTCTAATTAACCACCCAAAAGCTCTGGCCTTCCTCCCATTCCCTACAAAAGGTGGAGGGAGAACAAATCTCCCAAACTGTCACCCCAGCCTCAGTGTCTGGGGGGAGATCTTGGCATGGAGCCCGAGTCTACACTTGCATTCCTGGATGAACCGTGAGGTGCTCACTCTCACAGTGACCAAAGAAGAAACCCCAGTGCCTGCGTGGACCATTGGAGGACATAGCTGGATTTTCCTCCTTTTATTCAGCCGAAAAACCTTGAGAGCTGAGCAAGGGAAGGAACTCAGGGCCTTCTTGGTCCTGTCCCCAAGTGAATGCAGGCCTGTCCATTCTGTTCTGAGAGAGGAATGGAACTGCTCACCCAGCCCAGTGCCAGGGTTCAAGGGTGCCCCACCTCCCCCCTGTGTGGCAGGGCATGAAGAAGCACCCCACACCAAGTCAGCCCACCACAAATCCCCAAGCTTTAAAAACCAAGGCCCTTGGGGCTGGGAAGGTGGCTCAGTGGTAGAGAGCTTGCCTTGCATGCATGAGGCCCTGGGTTTAATTCCTCAGCTCCACATAAGCAAAAAGAAAAAAGCCGGAAGTGGCTCTGTGGCTCAAGTGGTAGAGCCTTGAGCTGAAGAGCTGAGGGACAGCACCCAGGCCCAGAGTTCA